AAAGGTTCTCTTGTAACGTTATTATATGACCATAGAATGACCAAAACAGAATGTCCTCCTTAAGTCATACTGGAAACTTTATTATATTACTAAAGGAGGACCATGTGAAAATGTCTGTTAATGTTAGAATTGTTCTCTTTGTAATGTCATTATGTAACCATAGCAGGACCAAAACAGAACGTCCCCCTAAAGTCACACTTGGAACGTTTTTTACGACTAAAAGAGAACGTTTTGAGAACATCCCTAATGTTCTGTAAAAGTTCTGGACTTTCATTACCTTTAGGGACCTTTTATGGAACGTTGCACAAGGTCGTGAGAATGTTGCCTCCTTCCTGGGTGGTCATTTTTCAGCATGACCAGCTAAAACCAGACTGGAAATAGCTTGAAACCGGGCAAAAGCAGCCAACCATCTAAGGCTGGTTTAAGCAGGTTTTTTTCAGGACAGTTTAGCAGTTTTGGTTCTCTTATCCCAAAGTCAATAGGTTTTTTGGAAAGGATTCTGGTTAAATCACTTAAATAAGGTTTGTGGCTGCAACAATCTCAATATACTTCACGTTTTATTCTGCGACATAAAACACACAAGTTACATCTCACTCATGATTGTTAAAAACGGTTCCGCTTCTTTAAAAAGACGGTTGAAACAAGATGCTAAATAAGACTACAGGCGATGTCGACACATTATTGAACTGAAATGGTCTAGAAAGCAGCCTGCTTACAGCTTGCGTTGGGCATTTGGATTTGTCTGTTATTTGGTTAGGTATTTTTATAAATCATATTTTTAGTTTGTAAAATTGTTCTTAGTGGGCATTTATATTGTGTGTAGATAATGCCTTTACTTCATTTATTTCAATAAAACTATTTTGTGAAGATATTATCAGTGCAGTAAGGCAAATATGTGAATAAATCTGTAAAAATATGTAAATATTTATTAACATTTTAACATTTCACATAAACATAAATCAAAAGATTTTTCATTTTTTTTTCTTTATGGGCTGCTTTTCGCTGTACTTCCTGGCAAAACAAATATTGAATGTGGTTCTTTGTCAATGATGGAAACCTGATAGACTTGATAGACTTGTCCCTCATTTCTGTAGCTATTACTAAGGTAAGTGGGCTGTTTACACACACACACACGATATACTAATTTAAACATGTATTATGATAATATTACATAGGCACATTTATAAAAACATAAAGTATGTGTTTTAAAACTTTTACAACAACTGTAATGTAAAAAAAATAATTTCCCTCGGGAAAACTATCCAAAATGCATGAAGGTTTATATACAAATGTGTTGTTTTTTTTTTTGAGTATTTGTATTTGTTTATAATATATAGTGTGGATTATAGTAAATCGAGAGAGTAAATCTTTGCCAATACACCTTATTTCTAAAAATAAGCTTGAAAAGTGGTCTGAAGCAGGGTGGTGCTAACGTAACAACAAGCGATTGCCCTGAAGTCAGTGTAGTCATTTTATAGCCTTATGTTAGTTATTTCAGTTATTGCATTTGCATTTAAAATTCAAAAGTGATAAAAGTTATACTTTTGTGTTAGGATTATCCAGTTGGACAAAACATGTAAGTGTAATGAACTGTGTTTGAACACAGAGCTTATTATGTGCAATCTTCGAAAATCCTATGGAAAAATCCTATGGGGATTTTATAGAGGGAACAAGTTTTATACTTGCACCCAATTAGCCTACAAGGTGATATCATAGTTCCTCCACTTTATTTCTCCAGTTGAAAAATCTGAACTTCCAATCAGGAGTTTGCTCTAGTAGGGGCATAATTATGATGTAGCGCCTATAGTTGATGTCCTGAGAGAAAATCCTCCTGCCGACACAGGACAACAGCTCATCAAACTGAGACCGGTTTAGTCGGAAGTACCGCTGAAACCGTCCGTCATCCAAGCACAGCTTCTAGAGGAGTTGATGAAATCACAGAGCTGGGTAAAGCTTTGAAGGACCTGAGGCCTGTTTCAGAACTGAGGTTCAACCAACTCTGAGTTTAAACTTGAACTCTGAGTTGATTTACCGAGAGAATAAAAAATCTGAGTTTTCGATTCCAGAACAGCTAATCTGAGTTGGGTCAATCAACTTCGAGTAGACCAACTCAGAGTTAAGCGCACGCACCGTGACTATAAAAAGGCATTATCAATGGAGCGCAGATATTACGAGTGACTATGGCAATATCTTATAAAAGAGATCACCATTTCTTTCTCCAGCTGAACTTGATGTTCTCATGCAAAGTAATAGCAAATATATGAACATATATATTTGAAAAGAAGCAACCATCAGTGAAGCAGAGACAGTTAGCTTGGGAAAACAGCTGCTCAAGTTAATGCTTAATTTCACTTTTTAAGTATAATAAAATAAGTAATGTAATGTATGACGTTTATACTTTTTTTCTAAACTTTTATACACATTTATCCGTTTTAATTGATTTAACAGTGCACTTGTGTGTCTGCCTTTTTTATTGATTAAGTGATAGAGTTTGATATAACATTTAGAAGGTAAGCAGTACTAAAAATATTTTTTAGAAAGAATAATAATCCCATTAATCTAGTTACAGTACATGTCGAAGGTGAATTTAATTTAATTGTTTATTAAAAAAGGACAAGCCATTCTCGTACAGTTCTTCTGTGTGTGACTAAAATGTAGGCTATAGCTATGTTTCCATCCAAATATATTACATAATTTTATGTGCAAAACTGGAATATTGCATAAAAGATGCAAATAAAGCAGAGATTCCATCTAACGAGTCAAAGAGAAAAAAATTGTCACTTCCTGATTAAACTGGCACCAAATATCAAAAGTAAAAACAGAATTTACTGTGGTAGAATTAGCTGCGTCAATTATTTCTTTATTTAATTAATGTACTTGTGCCTCGATGTCAGAAGACAATGCAGAAACACAACGAACACGTGGGGGCATCTGAAGCCATGAGACACGGAGACTCTTGACACGCCCCAGACGCTTGGAGGTAATTAATAATATACACTAATACTGAAACAGTTAAGGCATTTTAGAATGACTAAAACAATATTTAAGACGTAATACAGTGTGCTCAGCCTGCTGGATTGTCCATTAACACACGTTTTCATCATCATATGATCATGACCTTTTTTTAATGTACATACTGTAATTTGTTCAGTAAAAGTGTGTACATCGTAGTTTATGTGTTTATTTTCTATCGAATAAAAGTTTATCCTGCTCAATTATGCGTGTGTTTTTATGCATATTTTAAAAAGTTATGTGCATCATGACGTTTCTATCAATCGTTTTTATGCACATATCCAAAATAAGCATTAAAATAGGTGGGAAATGTAAGGCTATAGCGAGAAATACCGCTTCGTCTTTAAAAAAGGGGAGGAGACCGACAGAAACTCTAAGTTCAGAGACTAAAACCTGCTTATGACCAGGTTAGGTTCACAGAATAAGTTACCACAGTAACTGACTCTGAGTTAAAGTTACCTCTCTTTTAGAAACAGGCTTGACTTACCCCGCTTTCTCTAGTTTAACAAACCTGCCATTTTGAAACGGAAAACCCAGAGTTTCTCTCATTTCAGGGTTAAAATACTCTGAGTTTTCACTTAACCTCCTTTCTGAAACAGGCCCCTGATGGACCCAGACACAGCGCCGAATGAATCTACCATGTTTTTCAGCTTTCCTAAAGCACATAAAGCACAGAAACTCTCTTGATAAAATATATTTTTGCCATTTAACAACAAAACAGGATTTATCAGGCAGAGAGCCCCTACTGCATCTATTGTAAAGGGAATTTCACATGTGACAGAAGGAAATCAAGCAAATTAGATGTGCAAATGAAGAAAGGAAACTCATAATGCTTACGCATCTAATTTAGAGCAAATAGCGCAATCTATTCATGCAAGCCATGACTGGTGTGTCTGCCACATAAGACCTCTTTTTTTATCAAATCCCAAAAAAGTTTGTATAAATAATACTTAAAAAAAAAATCAATCAAAACTGATCTGTGTGTGTATTTTTTTAGCGGTCTGTTTTACATGTTTCCTCTGACTTTAAGCATCTGAAAATACAGTATCACTGTGATGGTGTTTTTATTTCTTCCTTTTTTGCTATAGTGAATTCAGTAAAGAACTTAAATTTTTCAGATAAAGCAATTCTTAATTCTTCAATCTATTGCACCTTGATCTTCTTTAATGTTAGAGATGATTATGATTTAATTTTATTTAAAAATCTTTATGATTCATTTATGTTCATTTAAAATTCAATTTTAATGTGTTAACAATTTGTAATATAATAAAAATGTATTCAGTGTGATAAATTTCCATGTAATTACTTATATGAAAAAGTTGTGGACTCCGAGATGCCCAGTGTTAGTAGTTCATAATGAGAACCTGATCCCAGTAAACAAAATTGACAAAACTCAGGCTCTGTTGATTAGGCTGATGTAAGAGATTTTGAACATGTTTAGAAGCAACTCACAGGAATTTCAGTTTCAATTTATTCTTTGGTAATAATTGTTGCACTCTAATGTATACCCATGTCTCTGTATAGAGGTGTATAACCATATTAGTGTAAAAATGAGTCATGCATTGTGAATGTATCTTATTCCAACGAGAACAGCCAATGTTCTGAGACATTCTGAATGCCATGAAAATGATTTTCTATAATACATTTTTGGATGATAAATTAGTAATTTGACATTGAATGTATATTTGTAATTATACATAATGTAAATGTTTGCTGCAAATAAACACAATATGCTGCAGAAAATTGCACTGGATCATTTATATAATGTAATTGGAATCAAGTATTCTGTACAGTATCGAATACAAGTAATTTTAGTGTTGTAAAAGATATTTGAAATGTGTAGCTGTAGTAGTCGTTAGGCTTATTCTCACACTTTAGAACAAGGTCAGTGTATCTGCAAGAAAATATTACATCTTACACAACACCAAAAAAGTATTGAATTTAAAAACCCTTAATTAAGAAATATAAAATGATAGTGTCTGACTTACTTCAGTGCTGGGTAGACTGGGGAAGATGATGCTGATAGTAACAAGCAGCAGAGCACTAGCAAGGCAGTTCTCTGAATTACTCCCACTAGAAACACAGTTCATAATATGATTCTTATCAACTGAACTTATACCTGTATTTTATGTTATTTTATTCATTTATTTACACACTTGTATAGACTGTTCTTCCATGTAGCCTACGCAGTCAGTATAATAATTATGCTCTTTAAGCATGACTATCTTCTATAATCACATAACTACTTTAGCAAATGTAAAAAAAATATATATATAAACAAATAAATAATAAAAAAAAACATTTTGTAATTTGGAGGTTTTGGACGTGCATAAAAAAATTATTTCATCTTGTTCTTATTGTCATGTAAATTGATAATTTTACATTATTTTATGCAAAAAAAAAAAAAAAACATTACCAAAGGGACTAAAAAGAGTAAATAGATATCAATAACCTACTGCATGATATGACAAACGTTTCTTTTTCTCATTTATTCCCTAAAGAGCTATATGCTTACTGAAGATAAACCTATGTTGCAGAAAAAAAAAGTACATTTACTTTGACATTTTAATTTCAAACCTAAAATGTTTTCTAACTATAAAGCTAAATGCTAAAGAAGAAAAAATTTATGATTTACCTTGCATGATCAAAGATTTCTGGTCCAGGTTTGTAACAAATGTGACGGAAACAAGATGTTTCTCTCACTGAGGATTTGATTTTATTCCCAGCCTCTACTGTTGGTGATTGTAGTGAGTTAGGCATTTTGTATTATCTCTCTCAATTTATATTCCCCACCCCCTTTCTCCCTTTCTTTTTCAAGCCATTTACACAGCCTCATTCAATTCTGCAGCTTTATAGAGCGTGTGCACTACATGTGTTGTTTTTTATTTATTTATTTAATGGATCTTTCTTTGTAACTGGCATAGCCATTATAAAGTGAATTGTTCTTGATGTATATAGTTCTGAAATAAGAGTCTACACCTTGTGTTGGCTACTTTATGGCTAATCAGTTTTCTTTCTAGTAACCGAAGCTTTACAAATTACAATAAATGTATTAATTCATTCATTCATTCATTTTGTTTTTGGCTTAGTCCCTTTATTATTCTGGGGTTGAAAAAGCAGAATGAACCGCCAACTTATCCAGCATATGTTTTACACAGCGAATGCCCTTTCAGCTCCAACCCATCGCTAGGAAGCATCCATACATATTCATTCATACTCATACATTACGGATAATTTAGCTTGCCCAATTTACTTAACCCGCATGTTTTTGGAGCACCCGGAGGAAACCCACGTGAACGTGGGGAGAACATGCAAACTCCACACAGAAATGCCAAATGACCCAGCCGAGGCTAAAACCAGCGACCTTCTTGCTGTGAGGCGACAGCACTACCTTCTGCACCACCGTGTCGCCCCCAATAATAATACTATTGAAGTGCTGTTCATTGGGTTCTCTGAGGTCACACAGAAGTTTTTTTTTTTTTTTTTTTGAGATTGTCTGTGAATGATAATCACAAAAAGAATAGCTTTTATAATGTAACGATTGAAAAAAAATCCAGCAGAGTCTTCATTAAAATGGAGAAACTTAACAAAACTTTAATGTATCAGTAAATAATGAATGTTGAAACTGATTGCATTCATAGATGAGATACCAGGTAATATGAAAAAAATTTATGTAGAATTTTACTCGTGCTGAAACATTTACATACAACAGATAATATACATTTATATTCATAGCAGCATCAACGTAAAAATAAATCCATTATATGATAAAATAATATGATTTAATAAGTGAAAAGGTTACAAACATATTCTTCCCTTGATAAATAAGAGCTTATCTCTGCTCTTAATAAATAAATCATTTTCAAACTCAAAGCAGTGAGTAAACATTTGGACACCTGCCCAATATTTTTAATAGCCTTAAATCAAAGTGTAATGTTAATATTTTCAGCTGTAAATTTTCCAGAGAACTCTCCCATTTAAAGGGAAAACATTAAATTGAATTAAAAACAATGCTTTTTTTCAGACTCTACCTTTACTTGTTGTAATTATGCAATATGCGTTTTCATTTTGAAGCAAAATAATAAACCATTAAAATATCAGAACTAAAATCACTGCATTTCTAAAAGGCAGAAGTGAAGTGACACCACTGGGAAGAGGGTTTTCTGGGTCTTTTGTAATATTTTTAGCAGGAGAAATACCATTATGAAATTCACATAACTGTTAACATATTTAACATATAAAACACTCAGCAAGAATGTCTACTTTTGTGTACTTTTGTGTTTATTAACAATAAAAACAATATTTAACCACAAGGCGAAGGCAAGGCGGACACATTTCTAACCGGCATGCATCCTGCGGTGATCACCGGTGATCAGTTCTGCGCAGATTTTGGCCATCTCAAACGAGTCTAATCCCAATCCGCTTGTTAAGTGGTGACATTTTGGTGACGTTTGTAATACTGTTTCCGGGTCCAAACCACCACTCATTTGAGTTGAGATCTTATTAGTTTATTTTTTTTTATTCAAAACAAACATCAAAGTTAACTTTATATAAAGTCATAGTGTACAATCTCTGGGTTTGCTGCATATCAAATACCAACATTTTAACAATTTGTAAAAAATGTAATCACTCTCTGGCCATTGGATATTAGGCATGGACATATATATTGCGATCGTGATTTTCGGAAGTATTAAATCGCTTTGTAAACGTTTATAATTACCTCCCTATGCAGTTGAATAGAGAGCTTGGAACCGGAAGCCGATTCGCGTGACGTCACACTTAACAAGCGGATAGGATTTTCCCATAGAGTTTTCGAACATTGCAAATAGTAAAATCTGTGTTCAAACACTGTTCATTACACTGACACGTTTTGTCCAGCCGGATAATCGTCACACGAAAATACAACTTTGAGTACTTTTGTACGGAACCCCGAAAGGGATGTAGTGGAGGAGAAAAAAATTGGCCGGGTAAACCACAAAAATGGGTGGGAGAAAAATATATATTTCTAAGTTTTTGCGTTCTATCTCAAAGTTTTGCCTTCTCTCGCAAAAATGTTTTGCGTTCCCTCGCAAAGTTTTGCGTCATCTCGCAAAGATGTTTTGCATTCCCTCGCAAAGATGTTTTGCGTTCTCTCGCAAAACTGTTTTGCGTTCCCTCGCAAAGTTTTGCGTCATCTCGCAAAGATGTTTTGCATTCCCTCGCAAAGATGTTTTGCGTTCTCTCGCAAAACTGTTTCTCCACAAACACTTCCTGTTCACTTCTCTCATGTAAACCCTCCCGTTTTTGGCGAAATTCTCCCATATTTTACCATTCTATCCAGCTTTCTTTACATTAAATCTGTGCGTCGATCGTCGCCTTTTATATGCAACCTCTGAACCAGTGAATGCATGTATAAGCGCTGACTGACAGACGCGATCTGTACAATAAACGGATCCCAGATCAGCTTCTGTACGCACCATTTAAAGTGACACCTCTGTTATCAAACAAGTGAGCAGCAAATTAATCTCATGTTTTGTTTTGTTTGATAACAGAGGTGTCTCTGTAAGAATGCACAGATCTATAATGAAGCATTCCATTAGTTTAGAATCTGTTTGTGCTCATTTAAGAGAAAATTAGCTGTTTAAAATAAAACATGCAGGATGGAGATTTTTACATATTATTCAGTGTATTTGTCTGTTTAAACATACACCCGCTCCGCTGTGCTTCTCTGTAAATGGTACTAACCTTAGGCTATAAACAGACTACAGTGCCCTTGGGGCGCTCGTCTGTGACGTCAGCACCACCCTGCTACAGACAACTTTTCTAGCTTATTTTTAGAATTAATGTCCATGACAAAGAGTCAATCTCCCTGTTTATTATAATCCGCGGTATATATTATAAACAAATAAATACGCAAAAACACATAGACCTATGTGCCTTTTGGATCGTTTTTACGTGGAAAATACATCTGTTTTGCTTTGCAGTTGTTCTAAAAGTTTTAAAGCTGTGTGTATGTGCCTTCATAGTATTATCATAAGACATATTTAAATAAGTGTATCGCTCGCGGGTACAGAGCCTGCTTACCTTAACAAACGACAGAAATGAGGCATGAGGAGGAACAAGTCTATTAAATGCCTGCAAGATTCATCATCATGGACACAGAGCAACATTCAATATTCCTATTTTGTCACGAAGTACAGCAAAAAGCAACCCATACAGTCACATCTGCTATACATTTTATGGAGGAGTGTAAATATTGCAGTTATGACTAGGGATGCACCGATATGGATTTTTTGGCCGATACCAATAACCGATAATTCTTCAGACTTGGAGGCCGATAGCCGATATATAGGCCGATAATCATAAATATTTTAAATGGTTAAATTTTTATAAAGCAAACTTCATAAAAGATTGAACTGTTCATATGAACTGAGCCTATACACAAAGCAAAAAAGCTATAACTTCAAAATTGCAAGGTGATTATAGACCTATATTCACGATTTCACATAAATTAGCATGCAAAAAATTATTTCCTTTTCTTCATAGCAAATTACAGTTTTTCTCAGTCGCTTTGGTGCGTTTCTCACAACACCAGTGCATTTCTGCACAACAGTTAATGCATTTCTCAAAACAGTTAGTACAAACTGCAAAACCTAGCTGATAACCTGCAAAAGTGTGTCACATGCTAAAAATGGATAGTTCATTCCTCAAAACCAAGTATTGATGTCAATCAAAGTGTCAGTATCATCAAAATGAAAGGTCCTGACACCACTGTCTATGAACAAGATAGTCAAATGGCTTAGTCATGTTTTTATCATGACAGTTTACTCTGTACATTTTTTCAATGCTAAAAAGTCAGATTTTGGTGACACTTCCTAAAAAAAATCTAAAGATAGTACTATATACTATTAGCACAGCCAATTGAAAACTACAGTAAAGTTAGACATCACTGCATTTATAAGGTATCTGAGTACAAGACACTGAATATGTGTGTTTCACATTTTTTCTGCATTTGCTCTTTACAATTTGATTTTTTTCACAGCATTGTGCAGAAGAATAAATACACCCTTATTTACAACAAACATAAACTCCCTTTAGGTAGAGCTGTGCACAACTGTAAACAATATTGCAGAGCATATTGGAACTGAACCAACATACATACACAGGTCTGTAAATCATTCATGAAACTGAAGACATTTTCAGTAAAATAAAGATTTAAACATTTTTTTATATAAAATTAGCTTGCAAGATTTTGACAACTAGTTCAACATTTTTTGTATGTAATGACTCAAGTAATAAAATAAGTACCATAAGTTTTATATGGAATGACTATTCAGCATTTACAAGTTTAGTTCATTTTGACTGACATGACATAAGCAAATGATAATGTTATAAATAGCAGAGAGTTGTATGAAAGCAATTAATGCATGTCCAAAAGCATTTGCAATTTGTTGAAAGGAATGAGAAACTGCTACTAGGATGTGCAAAAATGACTAATTGTTTTGAAAAATGCATTACCTGTTGTGCAAATGTAATTAGTGCTGTGAGTAATGCACCAAAGCCACTGAGAAAAACTGTAACATGCAAGTTGATTGTTGCATAAAAATAATAGTTTAACAAACAAAATGGTATTTTTAACAAGCAAGATAAATATATATTAAATAGGATGAAAATGAAAGAGCTAGGGACTGAAACCAGCTCAAATGGTCATGAATAAAACATGTTACAGTGATGTACACATGTACAAATATGTCATGTCTGAAAAAGCCTTTATC